GCTATTCCTTTCTTCTTTTGTTCATCCAAAGACGGGGTTAGAATAGTAGATTCATAAGTTTTGAGATTACCTCTTAGCCCGTCGATGGTGACATTTGAGACTCCAATGGATTCATAGATTGCATCGGCTTTTGACCTCCATTCGGGTGTGAGACTCCGCAGGATTTTCCTCACGAGATCCTTGTTGGCGTAAGTCTTTTTGAGAGCATGAAGATCGTTGATGATCTTTGAGAATCGGTTGAACATGTCATCGATTTTCTCACCTTCTTTCATTCGGAACATTTCGTACTCTTGGGTGAGAAAATCGATCTTGGCTTCACGAACTTGATCGGTACCTTCGTACGTCACTTCAAGCTTGTCCCACATCTCCTTGGCAGTTGTGCAGCAAGAGATTTTCCGGTAGTCATCGGGGTTAACTGCATAGTAAAGCATGTTGATAGCTTTTGCGTAGTTTTCAACCTTCTTGATGTCCTCAGCATCAAACTCGTCCTCGGTTTTTGGAACCGTGGTTTCTCCTACTTTCTTCATTGGGATTTCCTCTCCGTTTTTGATGACCAACCATAATTGGAAGTTGGTGGAACGGATATAGATTCTCATCCGTTCCTTCCAATAGGAATAGTTGGTGCCATCAAAGAGTGGTGGCCTAGAAGTGGATTGACCTTCTCCAATTCCTGCATAGAGATTTCTAGAAGAAGAAGCCATGATCGCTTTACTCTCAAACGGTTAAGTTTGGACGCGATTTAGGCTCTGATACCAATTGTTAGAATAAAACACCAACGCTAGAGGGGGGTGAATAGCGTTTGATCAAAAATCGCAGGAATAAAAATGAATAAACGAGAAGTAAAGAGAAGAGTAAGAGGCACACCAATTTTACCCTGGTTCACCACAACTTGTGGCTAATCCAGCCTCCCGAGAGACTCTCTCGAGCTACACTACTATCTCGTTAAGCTTAACGGTGCTTAACAAACCCGTACAACTTGAGAGTTCGAGTCACACGAACCTCAACAAACCTTTGAAGGAAACAACCCTTCCTTCGAACAACAAGAGAAATACTTTCTCTTGTCAAGTGTCTAAGAACACAAAAAAAACTCTCAAGAACAATACTCTCTTTTAGAGTGGATAATGAGTAACTAAGTACGCTCAAGAACGCAACACAAGCTTCACAAAAATGGCTCTCAAAAAGCTATGAAAAAGTGATGAATGATTTGCAATGAAAGAGTAGAAGTTGTGAAGTTATGTGAT